ATGAAACAAACTTTGCTAGACTATGGTGTAGTTCTAGAAAAAGTACCTCTTTTGTGCGACAATGAAAGCGCCGTAAAACTTGCAAATAACCTGGTTCAATTCTCTCACATCAAGCACATAGATATCCGCCATCACTTTCTAAGAGATCATGTTGCCAAAAATGATATATCACTAGAAGGTGTAAGGACCGAAGATCAATTAGCGGATATCTTTACTAAACCACTAGATGAGGCAACCTTTTGTAGATTGCGAAATGAGCTCAATGTACTTGATTTTAGCAACTTCACTAAAAATTGAGCGTGTGTTGTCCCTTGCATTCATTGTAATATACAACATGTTTAATTTTTGGCAATGGATATAGGGCTTGTCTAACATGGTTAAGATAACCGTCGAAAAGCGTGTGAAGAAGCTTAACCTTGGATCAAACTTGACAAGCAACTAGATTTACTTATATAGCATTGCATATACATGGATGTTATTTTGTCGTTTTGTTCCATTTGCCCTCTTATTGCCTATTTTCTTAAAAAGAATTATAGCCTAAGGTCCACCTCGCCGGTTTCTTGCGTCACAGAGCCACCGCGCCAAGTTCCGCCGTCCTGCTTCACCGTGCCCTAGCTTCTCCGGTAAGGCCGTGCCCTAGCATCGACTGAACTTTGCCAGCAACCTAGATAAATTTCAAAGCCTTGTTTTCAATTGCTTCGGGGCGCATGATTCTTGAAGTGTTTCGCAACCCAAACCCTAGCCCCAGTTCCGTGGTTTCCCCCACGTGACGCTTCTCTCCTTCTCTCGGATTGCCGGTTCGTCAGGTAGCTTGCCCATCGTCTCAATCTCGCACCTACATTGCTTGCTTCCTAGGTTTTTCGCATCTATTAGATATATTGTATTTATGTGTATATCCATCTAATCTATCGTGCAGCGAGTCGGTGCCGTTGAGGTTCCCTGTGGCGAGTTATCGCGAACTTTCGAGCCAAGCTCGCGAAATGCGGATCGAGGCCAAGCCTCGAAAGTGTCGATGGCGATTGATCTTGTCGTGACAGTTCATCCTCTTGTCGGATCGGATGGCTCATACCAAGAATGTTGGTGGTGGTCCGGTGATGATGATCGGAGGCCCCGCCTCGCCTTTGCCCACAGATCCAAAAAGGCAAGGCAACAAAGAAGGTTGCATCAAGAAGCGCAAGTATCCGAGATCTTTGAGACCGCCAGAGCAGCAGCGATTCAGAGGTCATGAGAACGTCTTGAGCGAGGAGGTGCTCGCGGCGGAGTTGTGATTGTAGATCCGCCAGATTTCATCGGATGCAAGGACTGTGGCGAGAGTTCAACCTTCTTGGTAGTCCACTAGGGACTATCACTTTATTGAAGGAGGGCGATATACTATTGGTGAGGGTCACCCTCAAGGGACTTCACAAGAAGCAGCCCCACCAAAGCCAGAGCCTCGGCCCGGCTCAGGAGACTCAAGAGGGCCAAGCAGGCACCACAACCCCTAACCGCCCGCTATGGTCGTACCCATGCTCAAGATACCACCAAGGCCACTACTCTCATAGGGGTTCACGCCCACCGCCTAGACCACAGGGTCCACCTCCAGTGGTACACCTTGACTTGAGGGCCGCCACGGCCAGACAGGTTCGCTAGTTGAGGTTTGTTGAGTTCGATGTGTGGTTTCCTCCGAGGGATGAGAGAGCAGCAGAGGGGTTCTACACGCCACTCGAGGAGGATTTCTATAATGCCTATCTCAACAATTAAGGCGGTGTTCGTGTCTCGAGAGAGTTTGCCGCTTAGAGTCTATTGTTGTGGTAGCAATGGAGAGCACATCCGCCTAGTTGTCATATTTGCCGGGGCTCATGGATCTGATTGGCGGATAGGAGTATATGTACCATCTTGGGTTGGCAGTTTATGCTTCACTCTCGTTGATCCGCATCACGACTTCATTCACTTTGCATTCAATGGCGAGATTACGAGGTCATGAGTTTGAGGCCGGGAGATCTGAGGCTCTGAGATCACTGTCAGATTGCATGAGATATGTTATGGACAGCAGGAGCCTCCTAGGCATCCTCATGGAGGGTTGGTGCCCCCTACTGATCTTGTGCGCCATTGCTTTAAGGAGCCCTTTGGTGAGGGGTCAAGGAGGAACCCCAGTGACCTGACACCTACAGCTCGAGTGCTAGAGGCCATTATCAGGAGGACACTACTTCCCGTGTTGGGATCTGAGAGGGTCCGACTCGCCTATAGCTCGCTCCTTAATGCCCCGATCAAAGCAGACCGTGTTCAACATTTGGGACATCCTTCTATCAGAGATGGAGGATACTATTGCTGAGGGCTTCAAGGGTCGCAGACAGCTTCCTTATGCTCATTGGGTCACATTCTTGATGCTAAAGTCTGTGCAGGTCAGGACCCCTGAGATGGTTGCAGAGTACAAGGCTGCCACCACAGAGTTTCCCGCATATAACATGGAACAGAGGATCGAGCACAAGCCTCCCACGAGCACCCGCTTTCGGCCCGTCATCGTCCGGATGTTCCAGTCGTCTGACTCAAAGAGGGGCGAGATCATTAGAGGCATAGCCGCTACAGAGGAGGAGCAGCTTGAGGCACAGCAGGGGATGACCGAGTCCAGTGATAGTTCGGATGATGACTATCTGCGGATTCCTCAGATGCCTCCACGCAGATATGGTGCAGAGGCCAGCAATTCCAGCTCAGCTCCACCAGCACCGTAGATGGACCCTGCATTGATTGACATTCTTGAGCGGATGCAGCAGGATCGAGCACGACGAGCACGAGAGGCTGCGCAAAACTTTGCTGATTCCTGACTCGTCGAGATGAGTTCCAGAGATAGCGGCGGCTTCTCCAAAGCGGCGAAGAAGCAGATGCATCAAGGCGGCGATTACTCTTGTAGTAGCAGCTCAGGGGATTCATGCAGCATGTAGTGACAGCTCTTGGGGCTCCACAGCCACAACCTTCGCCCCAGCTTGCTCACCATTGACCGGACGCGTCCGGTCACATTAAAACCTCTTCGAACCTTCATCAGACTCGACCGGATCTCGAACCCCGAGTGGTCCGTCGGTTACTCACGACACGCGTCGGTCGCAGATCTCTTCTCTGGAACCTTCTTCGAGTCGACCGAATCTCGCTTTTCGGTCGTCCGGTCGCACGCTTTTGGCAGATCCCTTGATCAAATGAATGACCGGACCTGCGGCCGTCAAATCCGTCACCATGCCGAAACGTGTCCAAGATTTGACCCTCCATTCACATTCAACTCTTGATCATGTGTGAATGAAGTTTGCTCCATTGGATCTTAGCCATATGTAGGAGTTACCTAGAGCTAGTTTAAACAAGTGTGCACCACACCTAACTCACTAGACTCATCTAGTTCAAGCTACCCGTCCATACCCCCCTTAATAGTACGGCCAAAGGAAAAACAAAGTCCTAAACTACTCCAAGTGTCACTCCAACTCCAATCGACACTTAGAACTAGTCATCCTTAACCTTGTCGTCAATCCTTTGAAAACCGAAACGATTTCCATCGTAGGGGCATGACCACCTCAATTGCTCAATCGATCACCATTACCATGACCTAACTTAATTGCTTCTGCAAAACACACGTTAGTCATAGTAATCTTGTATTATCATTAATCACCGAAACCCAACAAGGGGCCTAATGCTTTCAGACCTCTGTGAAAGCTACGTCGCTACAGTGCTCAGCGACAAGAATTCCTCCACGAGTACTAGAAGCAGGCAAATACGCAAACTCGCTGAAACTTACACCATGCAAAGAGAATACAGTGGACTGTGGAATTACATCCAGCTTTGTCTCCTGCAGACAAACGATCGTCGGCCGGCCATAGTATCGCCGGGCCCTCGCGTTGAGACCGTGCACGTTCCATGACAAGATAGTTGTGTTATCCATTGGTGATTACGACTGTGCGTTTGGAGGGCGCACTAGGCCGTGGCAGCCAAGGGCTGCTTCGTTATTCTTGCAGCCCGCATCCTTGCGGCCGGGAACAACTCGTCAAGCGCAGCGACGTGGCTCGCAGAGAGGTTAGAATCGAAGGAGTCAAATGATTGCTGCGACGCCAGCGGCGGAGCAAACTGTAGTGTGACTCCCATCTTCTTCTAGAGCAGCACCTCACCACTCTTGGATGCTGGGATATGCTCCATCTGCTATGCGGCAATGCGGCAGCTCCGTAGAGGCACCGGCGGCTTCTTGGCTGGCGGTTTTTGCTTCGGTGGTGAGCGAATGAGTGGCGATCACCGTTTAAGCTGAACCGCGTTGGTGAACGTGGCGAGCCTTTGGGCAGCCTCTGCCGTCGTCGGAGTTGCATTGTCGGAGATGCCCCCAGGAGTCTGCGTGGTGACCGCTGGGCTAGCCATCGAGTCTGTGTCATTGGCCGGCTAGGCATGCACGGCTGTAGTGGGCGTCTGGGCGATTGTGGACCCAGCGGGTTCGATGATGGTCGCCGTGGCCGCTTGCCCGTCCGCCCCACTGGTCTCTTCATGCCGAGTCACGATGCACACCACGTATGTGGAGGAGGTCTGCGTGTCCACCGGGCACGGATCCTCAGCGGCAACAGCTTGGGCTTCCGCTGGCACGTGGCTAGCCCTGTCCATCGGGTACGCAGCCGTGTCGGCCCCATCATGGGCCTCCTCTGCCACGAGGACAGATACTAACTCGTGTCCTATAGCAGGCTGCTCGGTAGTCGCTTCGCTCGCATCTTGGGCCGCCTCAGCCGCGGGGACAGAAATGAACTCAGTCTGATTTGGGATCAACACCGAGCGGTGCGCCTACTGTGTGTCCTGCCTGTTTGGTGGGGTCGGCTCCATGGGCAGCCCTGCCTCAAAGACCATGGGGTCCAAGGCAAGCTGTCGCTCAGTGTCGTTTACGGCAACGGGATGAATTCTCAGTTCAAGCTGGTCTTGGCAAAGTATTTTGCTGCTTTTTCCTTCATTTGCACCTTCCTGCGATACCTCTGGCAAAGTATCTTTTTGCCCCGCGCTACCCGCCGGCAATTCTAGCTGTCCGAGATGCGCGGGAACTGCTCCGCGATTTGCGGTGATGACGTTGGTGCTGACGTTGGTTGTCCAGCTCCCATGCACGCCGGCCCCGTTGTCGGGACCTCTCCGTCGACGATGCCTCGGTTGCATCGGAACCCCTGGATGCGGGGCCCAGTTCCTCGGTGGAAGTGGTGCCTGTCGGGGTTGCTGTCGTGGCCGCTATCGCCGTCGTCGGACTCCGGCGGCGAAGGCGGTGGCGACGGGTTGGCCGGGTCGAAGTCGTAAACATTCCGGATATGCACGAGAACGCGGTAGCTGAGGACGTCCTTCCGCCGGAGGTATGGAGGAAGGTTGCTGAAGTGGAGGTTGTTCGCCGTGGCACCCACGATCTCGTTCTCGGCGATGTGCAACTACACCACCTTTGGGATGGCCCTTGGGTCGCACGTCCAAGCCGAGAGCTTGTATGCGGAGAGGTCGGTCTTGTTGGCGGAGTGCGGATCGACGGACTGGAGCTAGCAGCTGGGGGCCAAGATTTTGGCCGCTGTGTCCTCGCCCCAGGCGTGTGGGGGGACTCCCTCGATCTCGATGGCTACCTTGAACTTCATCGTTGCTGTTTCCGCGTGAGCCAGGCTCGTCCATGGACACAGCACTAGCCATGTCCCGGGCACATGCAACGGCGCGCGTGGCCAGGATTCTGTCCCGGACCAGCATGGACTGGCACCGGACAAGGAAGTTCTCGGGGTAGAACGGAGCGACAAAGAATGAGCCCTCCGCCACACCGTCGATGCTCCGGATGGCCCGCGCCGCGTCGGCGATGGACACGATGCGCGTCGCATCAGCCGCCATGGCTGTGAGAGCCAGCCGAAGACCTGCTTCGGCGGCGTCGATGACCGCGCTGCGCTGAAGGATGACCACGCTCTCCCACTGCCGCTCCTCTGGGTGACCAGGTAGTAGGGGCTCACGGTCATCCACGTCTGAGTTGTCGGCGCCTGCCAGAGGATGGATGCCGGCTGGGGTGGTGCCGGTCGCCTAGGAGCCGGCCGGAGTGCCAGGACTGTCCGAGCCGTGCTGTGCCCTGACGAACCGCTCCTGTCCGCGATCACCGTCCCCGCTGGCGCCCTGCGCCAGCGACCTTGGCAGCTTGCACTGCCGTGCCAGGTGCCGAAATCCGCGGCACTTCCAACACCTCAGCGGCAATTGGCAAGTGGCGAGCCGATGGGAGAAGGATAGGCAGTTGAGACACCTGTCGCGCATGGTGTCGGGGATCCGTCGGCGGCGGGGAGCCCGATGGCGGGCGTTCGCGACCCACTGCTCGTTGGTGATGGTGGCGCCGTGGTCGTTCGCTTGCCTGGAGAGCACCTCCCTCCATCCGTCCGCATCCGGTGGCGAGATCCGTCGGCGACCTCGTGCTGGGATGCAGGGGCCGAGGCGAAGGTGTGCACGTACGCGTTCAGCGTCGACGCCCAGGCAGTGACGTGCCGGAACGCGCGCGCCGCCGTCGACCCGGCTGCCCAGTCGCTGCTAGGCGGGGATGCGCCGACCCGTACCCGCCGGATGGGCGCCTAGGCTTCCGCTTGCGACGCGCCGAGTGGGCGCCGTCTTCCCGCACAGTCTCCGCTGGCTGCGTCTGGACGGCACAGGTGTGCGGCTAGGAAGTGGTCCCTGCCTCCAGGCCTACCTGCACCGGAGAGCCCCGGCGGACGACGTCGAGGAAGGATGGTTTCACCGACGGCGCGGTTTCGGCCTCGCTCTCGTAGTCGGAGTAGATGGCGTTGTCCGACCAACGCCCTAGGTTGCCGCCGGGGAAGAAGGGTGGTGCGTGGGGAGAGAGGGAAGCCGGACCCTTCCCTCTAGAGGGGGGGGTGCCGGCGGGCTGGTGGGTTCGGGGAGGGTGGGGGGAGCGGAGGGACTCCATCTCGGACCCTATCCTGAAGTTTCGCTACATCTTATATTACAGCCGGTTGTTTCCAACATTGTTATGAAAATTTGATCTGTTCAGACTTTTTTTTGTAATATCTACATGAATTTCTGGTGAACAGGTTGATCTGGAAAGGATGGGTTACCAACGCTGGATCAAATGGCTCAAAGAATACTTGCTTGGCTGCTGGACCCAAATCCTTCTCCGATATGAATTGTCTGGTCGACTCAAGAAAATTAATAGCAGGCTCAATCAGATCTCTGACAACCAAAAGGAATACAAGATCGAGCATACACCATTAGCGACGCTGACATCTTCCACTACAGCCACTTCAGCATGGTATGGGGCCTCCTATGTCAATCCTGTAATTATGAATTATCAGTGTTGCACTTTCAGATAATACAAGGAACCGCTTTTCTTAATTATAACCTCCATTCCAAAATACTTAAGACAACTTTGATGTTTACTGTTCAAACAATGACTAATAATATTTGTCGATGATATTTAGTTAAGTAAAGTGAGGAAACTATCATTGAACTTGGTGTCAAAAGTACAAGCATGTCATGTATTTCTGGCTATTTGTACAAATATTTACATAAAGACGAACTGTCAAACGTTGAATAGTAACCATAGTTGTCAATTGTTCTGAAACAAAGGCTGGGAGGCTGCTCGTGTGTGCTTGTGGTCTGCTGGATCCTCTTAACTGATCTCTGTGTCTAATATAGTGGAATATGATAATTTAAATAAATAATTGGTGTGGCCATGCACAATAAAACAATAGGAACATAAGCACCAACAGATAGGTTATATTTTTAGAAAGCTTTTGGCACTAGTGCACATTTTTCTAATTTAAAATAAATTAGTTATGAATTTTTAGAGGTTAAACTAGATTTTTATTATTTTTTGACGCGGAAACAAACTCGACGATAGTTGGATGGACAAAAATGGAGTTCTCCCTTGTTTAACACACATGCTTCTGTTCTATGTTTAATTTCCCATTTTACCTAAACACAGAATTTGTTTGCTTTTCCACGTATATATTACTGCTTTGCCTATGTGTGGAAATAATGGCGCATACTTCTCTTTTGTGCTATCAAAGATTCTGCTAGAGACATGTAATTTGGTGTTAATATGTGATTACATGTTTAAGGGGGTGAGCTTTAAATTGTTCATAGACTAAAAAAATACATTGCACTATATATCCTGCTGTATTGCCCTAGAGGAAGTTAGTCTTAGGTTGCTTTTCAGTATTTTGCTTAGATTGCCTACAATATGCTCTTTTTTTTGTGTGCAGGTTTTGCTTTTATGCTTTGTATCCGATTTACCTAGATGGATTTTTAGTGGCTTGGTTCACAACAGTTGTTTTGAGGTGTGATTTAGATTATTGCCTAACACGTTTGGCAAAGCCTTGCTTTAACCTTTTTTTACGATGCCTATATGAGAGTTATGGAAAACTTAACTTAAAACATGAGGCAGTTCAGTTTTCTGATAAAATTTTGTGCTTTCAATAATTTGGCCAAATGATGTAGGTAAAACTGTTTTTACATCAACAATTCAAGACAAAGCTGCCTAACCACCGAGTTAATTTTGTCTAATAAGAAATGAGACAATTTGCATTACTAACAGTACTCAATGGACAGGCGGGATGGTTATAAGAATGCTGTGGGTCTTGAAAAAGAAGTGGAGACACTTAAGGAAATGCTGCTTCATAAAGATCACCCCCAGCTAATGTTCATCTCCATACTTGGGGAGAGCGGTGTGGGAAAGAAAACACTGTCACGTATTCTCCTGCATGATATGAAGAATAACAACCATTTCGAGATTCGAGTTTGGTACAACATGCCGCCGGATTCCACCACAGAACATCTCCTCCAAACAATCTACGAGAGAGCACGCCAAGCCATTTCGCCAACACAAGGAGATCAGCCGGTCCAGGAAGGCTCTTGCGATGATATCGCTGGCATGCTCCGTCACCTCCTAGCCAACAAGAAGTATCTGCTGATTGTCGTTGGGATATCCTCCAAGACCATGCTCAACTGTGTGAGGGCAAGCCTACCAGATAACAACAATGGAAGTAGGGTAGTTCTCGTATTGGACATCGAGAATGAAGAGATAGCATGGCACGCTAATGCCATGAACAAGGGCATCAGCGACGGAATCCGCCACTTGAGCCGTTTGGATAAGGAAAAGAGTGTGAAGTTGTTCTGTTCGAGGGCCGTCAGGACAAATCTATCAGACGAAACTACGGGAAACAGCATGATGAGCATGTACAGCGAAGTTGTGTACAATATAACTTGGGGCTACCCTCTGGCTATAGTGGTTTTGGCCGGACTACTACGATTCAAGGAGAAGCCAGGGCAATGGATGGCAGTGCTGCAGCAGCTTAGGTCTGGACTAGCAATGGAAGAAGCACATCAGCAAGACGGCGAAGGCAATCAGATAACAGGACCTGCGATGTTCCAGGAGGATCGTATTGAGGAGAAGATGAGCCCCCCTACAACAGAAGCAGCCAATCTGTCCACAAGAACGTCGATTGAGAGGGTCTTCTGGGCAAGCTTTGAAGACCTTCCCAACGATCTCAAGTCATGCTTCCTCTACTTGGCCGCTTTCCCCAAGGACACCTTTCTGTCTACCGACAGTATAGTGCGGATGTGGATGGCCGAGGGATTCATCAGGCCACAGAAGGGCAAGACAATCGAGGAGCTGGGTCATGACTATTTCAAGGAGCTGGCCTTGAGATGCCTCGTTCAGGTTTCAGCGATGAACGAGGCTGGCGGCATTAAGAAAGTCATCGTTCACAGGAGGCTCCATGGGTTCCTGCATTCAGAGGCTCGTGAGGCAGGCTTCATTGACGCCCATGACATGCATGACGTCTTCGTTCCGCCGTCGGTGCGCCGCCTCTCTTTCATGAGTTTTCAAGACGGATATACCACGTTCACCAACAAGTTCTGTAAGTTGCGTTCCTTCATATGCTGGGCCAAGGAGAAAGATCATCGTCCAAGCAGCAATGGCAGCGGCGGTGGAGGCGTGGACGAGGAGCATTGGCATGATCTCAAGTTTCTGCAGGGTTCAGATTTACTTCGTGTGATCGACGTACGGGGACTAAGGATCAAGGAGTTGCCGAATGAGATTGGCAACAAGATCCACTTGCGGTACCTTCGTGTAAACAGCGAGCACCTCAAGGAGCTCCCGTCCAGCATTCAGAAGCTGCTCAACCTGCAGACACTGGATATAAGGGATACTGAAGTCGCGGAGATTCACCCATCCTTCTGGAAGATAAAGACGCTGCGGCATGTGATTGCAAATAACCTCACGCTTCCATCATCCATCAACGAAGAACTGGGCGAGCTGCAAACGCTACATGGTGTAAAGCCTAGAAAAGGAGACTGGGATCAAGATAACTGTCCACTGCTCAAGATGGCCAAACTCCGGTCATTGGAGCTACACGGATTCATTGACGCTAGACATGGTGCTGCGCTGCACACTGCCCTCGGGCAGATGCATCTCCTTGGCCACTTGAAGCTGAAAGGTGATGAGATCTCTTCTTGCATCTTCACTGGACAGCGCCTTCGATATCTTCAGACTGTAGAGCTGGATGGCACTGTGCAATGGCCAGCTGTTGATGCGTTCAATGATCTTCGCTTCGTCCGTCCAAACCTTGTTCAGATCAGCCTGACAAATGCAAATGATGCGCCGGAAGACATCCAAGAGGAACTGAGAAAGGCAGGCTTTATCCGCTCCCGCACGCCATTCCAACCAGTTTATCGGCTTTCATACAAACAAGGTGTGGCGAAACCGGAGCAGCAAGGTGAAGCAAGCTCCAGCGAAATGGAACAGCAGCACCATGGTGAGGAAGCTGAAGAGTGATGTGGTGCCCAGCTGGTTTTTATATCTCTAATTAAATGTTTCTATTTCGTGCGACAGTGCG